TCTTTTTTCTTTTTCTTTTTCTTTTCCCTTTTCCTTTTCCTTTTTCTTTTTGCCCCCATTACGATGCTTTTCTCTTGATCTTATCAGTTTTGTTGACATTTGGTTCAGTCTTGAGAGAAATCATGTATCCTGACAATAATTGGCATCCAGGGACTCAGAGGTCTGCCCTTTGTTCTATTACAGGAACCATGGCACAAGGCACACTACATGCACACAGCTATAATGTTTAATTCTATGTCAGAAGTCATTATTAGAGATGGCAAAATAGTAGAAAACAGTGTGACAAATGGGACAATATTTGAGAAGTCTGTCTTAGAAAATCCATTATACATGATGTGAAATCATAGCCTTTTTTTCCTCTTTTTTTGCACTTAACTGTTGGATAAAGGGAAGCTAGAGTACCTGCAGGAGAGAGCATTTATGGCCAACATTTCATATATGCTATGAGGCCATATTAACAGGACAATTTTACTAGCCAGAAAAAGTTTCCCCAGAAAATATGATTTTGCTAACATCTGAAAAAGTGTAAAGTTTACTAGGCAACTAGGAAAGAAAGAATGGACCTTATGGTGTGAGGAACACAGAGATCAAAGGGGACCACCAGAGAGAGTGTCATATATTCTCACAGCATGTGGTCTCTGTTCACATGGACCTACACCAAAGTCACTATTTCAACTTTTATGTGACTACTTCATTCCTGCCTAGATCCCCTTCTTGCTTAGTTGAAGCTTCCTGTCTGTTTCTGTTCCCCAGGGCAACCCACAACCCAAACTCAGTGCTTCTGACCTAAAAGAGGAGACTGTAGACACAGGCTGGCTCCAAACCATACAGGGTCTTGTGGGCTCAGCTCTCATTTTTGTTCTTGTGTTTTTCTTCAGTAATTTTATCATCTATTAGGAAAATGAGGACATGTTGGACATATCTCCTCTTTCTTCATTTAGCACCAAGATCAGAAAGGAGGTGGGTGTTTAGGTGTTCTCCAATGTGGCTGGTGGGCATCTGTGTACAAATGTGGGGTGGTCAGGTGGCTGGGAAGATGCAGGCAACACTCAATGTATTGTTCACTTTTAAAGATAAATCAAAGAGATAGTTTTTTACCAATTGTGATTTCACTTTTCTGTATTATAAGGGAACTGAAGAAGCCCAGAAAGGCAATTACAAAATACATATTTACTGTCTTACCTCTGGTGACTGTCATTTACTTACTGCTTAACATTCTTTGACCCCCCAGGGAAATTCTCTCTTCAGGTTTATATGCAGATAAATACTAATAAGGACAGTCTAGTCCTTTTAGGATACCTAAGTGTCACTTTCCCAGCTTGGACTGCTGTTGGCTCTTCACTCTTTTATTTAGTGAGTCAACATGTAATTTTTAGAAATACTGAAGGGGCCGATGAGTATGATTTGTCTTAGAAAAGAGTCTCATGTTTAAGCATGGTAATATGGTTTCTGCCAATGTGGAAAGTATATATAATGCTGAATATGGTGAGGACTGTGTTTGTTCCATGATTTCTTCTGACCAGTGAGACACTATGTAATAAGTGGGTGTACCTCCTCATACTTTCACAACATTGACTATGCAAATGTTCCCCTGGGTAACATCAAGGATGCTCCACTTGAAATGTAGGATATTAGCAGTTAAAGAGTGGATGCTAGTGACTGAATGATGCATTTAATTCATATTATTAATTAGTAATATAATGTTGTTTACTGTAAATAACTCTAAAATTAAGGTGGCAGAATGTCCTGAACATACTGAAAATTTCACACAATGAATACCATTTTAGGGCTTTAATTATAGAATAAAGAATTAAAGAATAAAAAAAATCTTAAAGAAATTTACATATATTTAGAAGTGAATAACAGATCAAAGGAATAAGAAGAAATTTGAGAAGAAATGAAAAACAGGGAACATGGATGACTAGCAATTTCCTCAAACAAGCAATAAACCTTCTGAGATAAACAATCTTCCAGTACCTTTTGAGCTGATATCTTTTGAGTAACTATTACTGTTTTGGTGAATCTCTGAAGGACTTGAGGGCATGTAAGGGAGTTTTAATATAAAAGTCCTGTCACCATTGGCCTCCTTTTTTTGTGTCACCACCATGTAAGAAGTGCCATGAGCATGGTACCAGTGTTGACTGGGAATGGTGTACACTTTTAGGAACCTGCAGTCTAAATATAATCAAGATTCTACATATTTGTGCAAACAAACCAAATGCTAAATGGTATAATACAAATAGTAATTTATTAACTACTTCATTCTGTAGAGAATGAATTTACAAAGTTAATTAATGGTGTGGTCATCATGTCTGCTTATTGTAGTTCATTGAAGCTGGCATTTGATAGGCCTGCCAATGGTTCACAAATTATAAACATCTCCTCTGGTCTGTCACGATGGTGGCAGACATTTGGTGGGTGGCACGATAGTTTGGTCATGTGTGGCACACCCATGATGTGTTCTGACTATAATTGGTTGTGTGCTTACTTTTTAGACATATGATCTTTAGACTTTATTTGAATTCTGAAATAATTTTTTGAATTTGAATATCTACCTTTCACTGTATTAGGAGTTTAAATTAATAAAATAATCAGGGGTATACACACAAAATGTATGTATAGGGACAAACATGATAGCATTACATATGGGAACAAAAAATAAAGATCACTAAAATATTCAATGAATTTGAAATAAATAAGTAATTTATGGAAATTCATGTAATAGACCATTCTGAGATTTTTCAAAGATCATATTTTTGATGAAAACTTAAAGTATCAGTGTTTATAATGTAGTACTGAGGGAGAATGCAGAATCTGTTAGGGTATAAAAGAGAAATTCAATATTGAAGAATATTAAATATTCTTAAATATTTAATACTAATATTTGATAATTTATTAATTATTAATATAAATATTTACTAATTAAATATTCAATATTAAATATATTAAATATTCTTAAATATTGGCTGTTGGAATGATATTATGAGTGACTTTGCTTTATTCTATTTTTTCCAGTTTAAAACCATAGTTTAATGTAGCTAGAAATATCCGGTAGCTATATATTTTTAAGCAGAAAAAAACTTCTTCACTTTTCCATCTTAAAGCATTATTAGCACAAGAAAAGGAAAATTTTGTTTATAAATGATACTTTCTGTGAAAATGAAAGCATTTTTTCATCTGTGGAACTTAAAAGTCTAAAAGCACAGAACACATTTTCCAGAAGACCAATTTTACTTTTACCCATTTATGGCAGTATTTGCAATGTTAAAATGTACTTAGATAATATATAGTTAAGCAAATCAAATCAAATAAGGAATTCAAAAGTAACTCATCTTGAATTACTCACAGTGTACATTAGAAATTATGAGAGAGAACACACATTAACCAAAGGTACACTGGCAAGCTCAAATGCTAGGTTATATGCTGAGTATTTTTAAAGGTTTAAAAATCATGCTTAATTAGCACACAGTTTTTTCTCACTTATACAACAGATGCATTTCTATCTGCTTGTGCAGAATAGAAAAGGGTCAGAATCTGAAAATCAACTTATGGCTTCATATATGTGCTATTTCAAAAATGTATTCCATAAAACTTACTTCACTGCTTCTAGCACTGATTCTTCAAATAAGCAAGTACAGAGGTCCTCATCCCTTAAAACTGCTTTCAGGTAGAAACCTCAAAATTCCTGGTACAGTGCCGGTACTTAGTCTTATATAACACAGGAATTGAATATACAACAAAAAATTTATCATTTTCTTTATGCTAGAGAGGAAGGAAGGGTGGAAATATGGTTGCAGTATTTAAGAACTGAAAAGAACAATGAGTATTTCACAATACCAACAGCACTATAATTGAAGAACTACCATGTATCTCATCAATTTTATAATTCATGCTCCATCAAAAACTTAGGTTCCCTTCTGCATATCTCAATTCAAACCTCGTACTCTCTCCAAATACAAACTCTACTGGTATTTCCTAAATAGACGACCAAACATCAAAGGAAATCACTCCTTTTAACATCTTTTGATATGGTAAAATTTCCCCAGAAGTAGAAATCTAGTATTTAAATATGAAATCTCTTAGCCAAGTAGAAAAACTACAGCTGTCATGGGTATTACCCTACATAGTCATTATATACATTATACATTAAACCCAGCATTAAATATGCTTGCACAATTATACTGTGAATGATAGCAGTGATGATGCCAGTGAAATAGGACTATCTTTAGGCCAAAGAGTAAGGGTGGGAAATGTAAAAACAAGTAGAAAGCTGACAAAGAGTTGTGTTATTTTCTGACCAGAAAAAGTAATTTTAAACACAGAAGTATAAAAAGTAAAGTATTTCCTTATTTCCCCTTTGTGGAAATAATATGAAACATTTATTACTTATTTTATGTAATCAGACAAGAGCAGAGCTAAGTAATATGACTCTAGTGCAGCATTGTAAAAATCATCCCTTCACCACAGTGTAAGATTTAAATGCATCTGCACAAGGGTACGTGTTATTTAAAATGTAGTAAGACTGCTGCTGCCCTACCAGGTACTTCCAGTCCCTACCCAGGTCCTACTGCAATACTGGTGGTCCCAGTAGTTTTATTGAAATAAATAATTTTTTTAAAAATAAAGCATTTAAAAAGAGAAATCAAAATGCCTCAGTAACTATAATATTCAACTCAAACTACCTATTTAAATGTTATATTTACCTCCCACTAATAAATCTTTATTTCACTCAAACTGGGCAGTATATCTTCCATAGTGAAGTATCTTTTGTCCAATTAATTAAAAGAAAAACACCAAAATGATTAGTAAAGAAAAGTATAGGGTTTAACACACCCTTTTAATTTGTTTTTAAATGTTTTTAAGATTTAAAAGTGTTTAAACTTTGTAATTCCTAATAGGAAAACATTATCTGAAAGAATACCATAATGGCAAAACCACTGTCACATGTTACAGCTGCATGTGGGGTGGAGGGGTAGGGATTCTCTTTAATGCACCCCAGCTTTCTTCACGAGAAGGTCAGAGGTACACTGGTTTGTATTATTGCGACATCCATTGAGTGATCCAAGTTCCTTTTCCTTCAGCAAGGGCTTTATCTGTCAGAAGGGCATTATGCTTGACCTCCAAATTTGGCTGACAATTTACTGATTAGATTCATAACCTTTGGGTTGCTCTGATATTTTGACATATTCGTCAGGTTCCGAGCCACATCCTGGAAGGCCACCATAACTTCTGGATCCTGCATGGCTGCAAGAACTTCTGGATCACTGAGAATTTCATTGAGCCCAGACATTCCTGCCATTCCAGGCATTCCTCCAGGAAAGCCACCTGGAAAAGAGTCATACTGAGCTCCTGATTGTTGTCCGGCTTCTTCTTCCCACTGGGTTCTCTCATGTTCTTCCTGAGCTTTCTTAACCCTTTCCATTCTTTCTTTGATCTCTGGCTCTTCACGTTTCCACTCATACTTTCTCCTATGTTCTGCAATTTTCTGGGCCCTTGGTTGAACTTCTTTCAGCATTGCACTAGCATCATCATCATAATCCAATTTACATTCAAGGGCAAGATCATGGGCAGCTTCTTCCTAATGGCCCAGAAGCCTGTGTGTTTCCCTCACCATTTATAAGGCTGAGCTGAATCAGGGTTTATTTCAATAGCTCTGTCACAATCTCTGATGGCAGCATTTGGCTTCTGTAATTTGATGAAGACACTGGCTCTCTTGGCACACAGAATGGCCAAGCAAGGAGTGAGCTTGATGACATCTGTGAACAAGTCAATGGCTTTCTGTAGCTCACCATCATTTAGGGCATCAATGGCAGCCACTTTTTTATCATTTGCCTGATCCATCATCTCCTCAGTTATCTCTACATTTTCATCCCCCATTTCCTGAGGGGCGTCTGTGTCTGCTTCAATCATGCCCTCATTGTCAATTTCTAGGTCACTTTCCTCACTTGATGGTTTGTCTGTCTTTATGTCTTCCTCCACCTTCTTACTATCTGTTTTTTCTTCCTTATTTTCTTCTGATTTGGCTTTATGAATAGCAGGTGGTATTTTACCTCCCATGCTCTCCACCCACTCCCTCAGGAAGCGCATTTCCTCAGTGTGCAGAATGCTCGGATCCTGCCTACACATTTTGACGAAGGCCCGAAGCTCCCTCACTTTGCGGGGATCCATGCTGGGAAGTGGCGGGATGCAGCATGCGCGGCTAATATTGCTAACTCGGCATGACCATGTGGAAGGGGACTGCATTATTCTTTATTGAATTTGCCAAATTTTCTTTAATGAATTGCATAATTTATATAACAGAAAAAAAAGCATTAGACATAGATTCCCAAATTAAGAAATTTTAAGAATTGAGGAGTGAATGTTTTCAATCAAATGGAAATATTTAAAACACATGAAAAGTTCCAAAGGAATATAGAGTATTTATGAAGCAGTGTGAATTAAATGCTACATTTTATTTGATGGACATTGAAAAAAATGTTATTTCAGGCTATGATTCATATTAGATTCTCTGGTTTACATAGAAAAAGAACCCGTGACATTAGTCATGTGAAGTTTTCCTTTGTGTCAGTATCAGAGCTCTGTCCTCTTTTTGCATGGATTATTGGGGAAAAAAGTATCCTTCCTTAAGAATAAGTTCTGCATGAGAGGAGGGTGATGTCCCTCTAAAATAAAGTGTGTGAAAATATCATAGTACAGAGCTGTTCCTGGCCTTTTCAGCCTGAGGACTTCAATATTATTGCCACCCTGCGAACACACTGCCCTTGGAGCCTCTTATTTGGTATTCCTGGGGGTTGCATTTTACAGTTAAAACAAGAGAATGTGGTCATAGCCAAAGATAATCTAAGACAGTAGGTAAATTGTGTGGGAGAGGGAGGCCAGAAAAGTTTTCCTGAGTGGAAGCAGCCTACTAGTAAATGGCCAACCAGGTGTAGAAATGTCAGGATCACTTATTGGAAATTGGCTCAATCATTTTGGGAGGATATGTTTGTGATGTCTCACTTTTTAAAAATATATATACCTCTTGACTCACTGGTCCCACTTCTAAGAATTTATGCTAAAAGGAAAATTTCACAACTTCACAGCACCTAGAAGCACAAGTGTGTTCATTGAAGCACCTCTTATATTAGCAACAAAGTGAAAACAAGCTAAAAATCCACTGTGTTGCACCCTTCAAGACCAGGCAGGTTCATGGTATTCGTGCAGACAGAAAAATATTCATGGAGCTGTTGGGATGTCTGTCATGCCTGGACTAATATCAATATATATTGAAAAGTGAAAAAACAAGCCTATATGCACACACACAAACATGTATATACACATAACCTCACAGATGCTTATATATGCATATGAAAATTCTTGGAAAAATATCCAAGAAGTTGTTAATAGTAGTTATATCTGGGGTATGTGAATGAGGGGTTGGCAAGGAGAGGGGCATTTATTTTTTACTTCATGTGTTTCCATGCTACTTAGTTTATTTTTTACACAGCATATATAAGGAGGGATCACAAAAACCTGGAATTTATTTATAAACAACTATGTATTTATTTTTACATGTTTAAATTTCAGTCACCTTCAAAGTACTCTCCATTTGATGCCCTGCACCTATCAAGATATTTTTCCACTGTTCAAAACTTTTCAACTAGCTGATTTTGATGCCTTTTAGTGCTTTTGCTATTCTATATTTCACTTCTTCCACATTGGCAAAATGTTTTCCTTTGAGCACTTTTTTTTTTTCATAGGGGGAACAAAAAAAAGTAGCTAGGGGCAAGATCATGTGAATAGGGAAGGTGAGGCATGGTGGTCATGATATTTTTGGTCAAAATTGCCAAACATTCAGGATGGTATGGGTAGGTGAGGTCATAAGTCACACATCATAAAATAGGTATTGATGACTTCTGGCCAAGATGAAGGCATAGGTAGACACACTATGCCTCCTCACACAACCAAAAGAAGGACAAAAAGTTTAAAAACCATAAATAACCAGAACTGCCAGAAAATTGAACTGTTTGGAAGTCTGACAACCCAGAAGTTAAAGAAGAAACATTCATCCAGACCAGTAGGAAGGGCAGAAATGGGCACTCGGGCAGAGAGGACTCTTAGAAAGGTGACAACTGCAGGACTGAGTGAAGTGGTGCCAGGGGGAGTTGTCGGTCCCATATTTGTGTGTGGATAAATGGGGAGGAACAACTGGGGAGCTAGGCAGACTGCATAACCCAGGGTTCCAGTACAGGGAAATAAAGCCTCAAAACTTCTGACTGAAAAAACCTCTGAAAGTTGAGGCAGTGAGTGAAACTCCCAGCCTCACAGGAGAGTTCACTGGAGAGACTCACAGGATCCTAGAATGAACACAAAACCACCTACCTTGGAATTAGCACCAGAAGGGCACAATTTGCTTAACGGAAGTGACTGAAATCCACTTTGGAGAGCTAAACAAGTGCCATTGTTCCCTCTTGGACCCCTCCCCCACATGCAGCACCACAACACAGCAAGGAGGTTGCCCTGCACTGGTGAATACCAAGCTCAGTCTTTTACTGTGTAACAGGCATGCTGAGGCAAAAAGAAAAAAAAAAGGCCCAAATGAAAACAGATCAAAGATCCAAAAAAATGTAACCAAGCGATGAACAGAGAACCAACCTATAAGATGCATAGTTAAAAACACTGGTAATCAGAGTACTCACAGAATAGGTTGAGTATGGTTGCAAAATAGAGGGAAAAATGAAGGCTGTGCAAAGTTAAATAAAGGAAAATGTATAGGGAAGCAAGAGTGAAGGGAAGGAAACTGGGACTCAAATCAATGGTTTTGACCAAAAGGAAGAAATAAACAGTCAACCAGACAGAATGAAGACACAAGAATTCAAAAAATGAGGAGAGGCTTAGGAACCTCCCGGACAACTTTAAACGTTCCAGCATCCAAATTATGGGGTGCCAGAAGGAGAAGTATAAGAGCAAGAAATTAAAAACTTATGTGAAAAAGTAAGGAAGGAAAATTTCCCTAATCTGGCAAAGGAAATAGACTTCCAGGAAGTCCAGGAAGCCCAGAGAGTCCCAGAGAAGTTGAACCCAAGGAGGAGCACACCGTAATTACATTAGCCAAGATAAAGGATAAGGAGAGAATCTTCAAAGCAGCAAGAGAAAGGGAGACTGTTACTTACAAAGGAGTTCCCATAAGACTATCAGCTGATTTCTCCAAAGAACCCTTGCAGCCAAGAAGGGGCTAGAAAGAAGTATTCAAAGTCATGAAAGGCAAGAACCTACATCCATGATTAGTCTAACCAGCAAAGCTATCATTTAGAATGGAAGAGCAGATAAAATGCATCCCAGAGAAGATCAAGTTAAAGTAGTTCATCATCATCAAGCTCTTATTATATGAAGTGTTAAAGGGACTTATCTGGGGGGAGGAAAATGGTGTTGGAGTAAGAAGGAGCACATTTGGCTTCCCTCTGCACACAGGAGAGAATCCTGGCCGATCTACGGAGTAAGCAACCAACACACCTCAGCATATGTGAAAATAGGGGACCAAGGATTGTGGCAGAACTGAAAAACCAGTCAGTGAGAGGAGTGCTGCAATATGGTAGGGTCCCAGGGACCAGTGTGGGGTTGAGGGGCTGCAGCCTCAGGCCCAACACCCAGTGTGGGTTTGCCACAGAGTCCTTGGGAGAGAGCCGGGCCAACTGCTCGCTCCTCAGCCAACCAGCCAAACAGGGTCTGAGTGGCACCGAGAGGAACTCAGTTGCTAGCAAACACACAAGGGCTGTGAGCACCCCTGACAGGGTTGGGTTGTACAACGTGCCCTGACCCCCACAGTCACCAGTCTGGCTGGAGAGTTGGGCTGCGGGAGAAGCCAGGCGAAGGTATGGAGCAGCAGGCTTGAATAGAAGGAATTTCTCAAAACGAAGGAGTGAAAAGACAGACACTGTTTGGGGAATTCTCCTACACCAGTTGCCGGCCTCCCTGCCACCTAGCCAGGCAGCGATCCAGAGATCCAGAGTTTGCACAGAGGGTTGTGCTTGTGTGGAGGACCTGCACACCCCCATAGTGCTGGGAAGGGTGAGGCTGTTGGCTGAGGGCACGTGCACGCTCATGCCTAGGAGTACATTGCAGCACCCCAGTTCACAGCAGTAACCCTGCAGAAAGACCTGATTACCAAACCCAGGACGCAGGGCCCTGAAGCCACCATAGCTCCCCAGACAGTGCGCACCACTGACCGAGTGCTGATTCCGAAGGAAGAAAAGCCATACCAATCACCCCTCAGCCTGCCGCAGCCAGCAAGACCAGAAAAACTGGTTTGGCCACTTTGAAACCGAGAGACTTTTTAATTTTATTCTATTTTTTTTAAACAACTCTTAATTTTTTAATTTCTATTATTTTTATTCTCTTTTAATTTATTTTTCCTTTCTTTCCTGCTTTCTTGTTTTATTCCTTCCTCCTTTCTTTCCTCCAATTTTATCTCTTCTTCCTTCCTTTGTCTGCCTTTTTTATTTTTATTTTTTAAATACTTAAAAGTGAGACTAAAACCTGGATCTGTGAAAAGACCAGAGTTGAACCCAACGAAGGGGAATCACAACAGCTATGACTGTGAGACAAATTTCATTCTGCTATTAGAGAACCTGCAAGTTATTGCATATTTGTATTATTGTTATTTTTCTATTATTCTTACATCTTTTTATAGTATTTTTATATTCCTCTTTTCTTGTATAGTATGCTTTGATAGGGTGATATATTGTATCACTTGACAGGTTTCCCCTGATATCTCTTTTATAGTGTATTGCTAATATACTGTCCTTCACCTCACCTGTGTCCCATTAGCACACTATTCAAGGTTCTATACTGCCTATTCTTGTTATCTAGATCTCATAGATTCTGTCATATGATTTTTGCTCTAATATTATTGTAAATAATTTCTGTTTCATGCAATTGTAAATACTTCACAACACCCTTCCCAGATCTTAGCCCACTTCAAAATTTCCTGAACTCGATTACTGTAGTGGTTAACTCTATTCTCTCACACACTACATCTATTTACTACCTTTACTCTCACCTTACCTCAGAACCTGACCTTCCAAAACCTCATTGCTTTTTAGATCCAACTCACAATCCTTCCTTTTCCAAAAAGAGTCTTATCTTCTTTCCATCCTTTCTAAAAATCAGCTAGCTGGGTGGAAAATCATGGTTAATACTATACATAGCCAAAGGATCT